TGTGGTTTTAATTTGCATCTCCCTTATTACGAGTGATGTTGAACATTTTTCATATGCTTGTTGGCCATCTGCATTTCCTCTTTGGAGAAATGTCTTTTTAGCTCTTCTGCTTATTTTTGCTGAGTTTCATCAGTTCTCCGTATATTTTTGTGATCAATCCTTTTTCACTGATTTTGTGTGAGGAAATTTTTTCCAAATCAGTGGGCTGCCTGTTTGTTTTTTGTAATGTCTCTTGCTATACAGAAGCTCTTTAACTTGATGTAGTCCCAACCCTCTTACTTTTTTACACTGTATGTGAATTCCCAGATCTGAGTCATTGGCCCCAGTTTGGATGGCCGTTTACTTTCTCTGTATTTCATGTGCAGGACTGGTCAGTGATGAAACTATTGCTGTCTTACAGACCTACCTGTGGGAAATGACCAGCGGTGTGGAGGAGATCCCCCCTGGGATCCTTAATAAAGAGCATATCATCTTTGGCAACATCCAGGAGATCTACGATTTTCATAACAAGTAGGTTGGGGAGGATTCCAGAGGACCACTTAGGTTCAAAAAAGTACTGATGTTGGGTTCCCATCAAGTGACTCAAAGCTGATTTGGCCCATCCTATCTGTAAACTATTATCTGGCATATTTTCTAAGTTAATTGCTGTCCAACTACTTTCCCATTCTTCTTTTCTGCCTCTGCAGTTGCCCAAAATTCCTAGTAGTAGCAAGTATTCATTCAGCCAAATCCCAGCTCAGTTTTCTTCAGGAATCTAACTGGCAACTTTTCATAACCAGAAAGATTGATTACCAGGAAGAAAATAAAAGTTGCTTTTCCCATTCAAACATGTTGGGAATTTTGACGTTAGACTTCTTCTGTGATGGACCATTGTACCTGGGAGCCTTGTGTTTCAAATTCCATTTGTTTGTTTTTTTCAACCTAAATATTTCTTCAGTGCTCAGCAACAATAACAAAAATAAGTTGCAGACAGACAATAAAAATACCTAGTGAAACCAGCTCTTGATAGCTTATAGAAGAATATCAGTTGGCAATCTATTTTATTGAAGTATGCAGTCAGTCAGCCCTGAAACATCACAACTCATTTGTCTAGTTCCTGACTTAAAAATCTTTCTCACAGCTTACAAAACTAGATGTTTCTTGTTCATAGAAGGTAAACAAAAAAATAGGTGTGAGTTATATGAGTTATGTGACCCACTAATCAAAATATTGGTTTTTCAAAGTACTAATAGAGGGACCCCCAAGACACAAGTCTAGCCTTCTTTCAGCATCCCAGCTCAATACTGCAGCACACATTTCAGAGGAAATCCCAGGGTCAGACTAGTCAAGGGTTTCACGGATTTAAGTAGTCATGTCAAAAATAAAATCACCAATCCCAGGAGTTCCTAAGGAAGCCATGTGTGCAGGCATAGCAGCATCCTGAAACAGACTCTAGAGTAGCAGTCAGTGGAGTTCTCTGCAGTGAAGGAAATGTCCCACCTGTGCTGTCCAGAGCAGTTGCCACTAGCCATGTGTGGCTTTTGAGCACTTGAACAATTACTAATGTTACTGAAAAATGAACCCTTAATGTCATTTAATTTAATAGATTGATAAGGCTTGTGGCTCCCAGATTGACAGTCCAACTCTAGAAAATGAAATCTCCATACAACTCTTGGCTAAAAATGATCAAAAGACAAGCAAGAATTGGGTGTAAGCAAGGACCTTGAGTCCCAAAAGTCTTGTCATCTGTTGATGATTAATCCCATTATGTCATCAAATAGCATGTTTAAAGAAGATAAAATATGTAGCTCCCATAACATCATAACATGTTAACCATACCAGATTATGAAAGTAGTAAGTCTTCACAGGAAAAAAAAAAAAACAAAAAAAAACTTCTGACTTTCTATACTCTGGAATGTTTAATGAAAGTTCCAGGTTTTCTTATTTTAATTTATTTAATCACAAATGTTAGCACTGTCTATTTGGATTGTCTGGAACTCGCCAGACATGGAAATATTCTCTCCTAATGCCCATTAAGTGACATCCCAATAAGTCCATTTGACTAAATGCTGTCATATAAGCCCAGCTCAACATTATCCATATCTTCCTGGATATTTGAGAAGCTGTTGGACTAGTAAGCAGTAAGTTGTGTTACTTTATTTTTCTGATCTATGATCTCTGGGATTTAATCAACTTCCTCCATAATTTTTTCAAATTGACTAAGTATGGATATCTAGAGATCACAATATGCTCTTCCTATGATTCCTGCTTTTGCCAAATCAATGTGTAGGTGAAAAAATATCCATTTCAAAATTGATCAATTACTACAAAATGCCCAGCTTAACCTTGCCTCTTATTCTGGTTTTATGATCTCACACTAGTAAGCCATAGAAAGCACTTTGGTAGTCTTTTTAATAGCTGAAAATCTACCACCAAAAATATAGTCCTGAAAAGACCTTTTTTAAAAAGTCAAGTGAGACCCTATAAAAATCCTGTGTTCTATAAATAGGGGAATAAATTAAGCTATCAAGAACATAGCTACCCAGCAAATGTTACCTGTTTATAACATTATAAACAAGAAACAGAGCAACTCTGAACAACTGAAAGAAATATTACAAAGGTAAAGTGCTCATCTTTTCATAGAAGCACCTCTTCATTCTTGTAAAAGCCACTGGACTTCTTGGTTATATTGTTTCTAAACCCATAGTGATTTATAAGCAGCAAATAATACTTGGAATTTGAACAGATAGTTTGATACCTGCAGCATAAAATAAAACTTGACAGGAAAGGCTGCAGAGAAGTTGCAAAAATTAGGCAACAGAATCCTGCCATCTCTGGTCATGGGCTACTCAGTATTAGTGCACACGATCCTACATCCCATCATGGACCCTAACAGTGAGTGCATTGGCATAATAGCTGATGTTTCATATTAATTCTGATTCATTAGCATATTGCTGGTTAAAAAACATGGACATATGTAATGTATTTAGAAATCTATTCACCAGAAACAGATATTTTTAATTATCCACAATTAAGAGACTATCCAAGAAAAGTTAAATATTCATTCCCTACAGGTTTTACTTAACTCATAATGTTTACTTTCTACCGATACATTACAAAGTTTGATTAACAGTAAAGGTATAATACCTCTAAACTCTAATAAGTAAGAGATAAAATGGCATGAGTCAACTCTGAAAATTAGGGAACTCTGAACTGTGTAAGATACCATATTGTTCATTGTATAACCCCAATATCTGGTACATAGTAAACTTTCAGTTAATATTGGATGGATGGATGGATGGATGGATGGATAGATGGATGGCTGGATGGATGGATAGAGAGACAAAATAGAGTTATAATTTTCAGACACAGCAATCAAGTATTAATTCAGTCATTTGTGAAAGTTTCAAGGTAAGGAAAATCATTAGGTATGACTTTCTTTCTCTATTGCTACCAGAACTTTTCTGACCTAAAAAATAATTGATTATCTGAATGAAAGAGCTTCCTAATGGAGCTTCTTAATGGGAGGAGCATACAATAGGCCTAACACCTACTTGCTCTGCACAAATAATTAATTACTTGAAACATTCCATTTTTAACCTGAAAATATCCAATTCTTTTGAACCCCATTTGTTTACATCTTCCCTAAGTTACAATGAACTTTTATCTAACAGAGAAATATGCTCCTCTCATTTCTAGTGCATAGCTCAGGTTATTTGCCCATACTTCAGCAAAAGAGAAAGGGAGGGCAAAAGGAAAACAGGAAAATGGAGAGGCAGAGGGAACCAGATTGACACTGCCTAGTTAACCCAGTTAGTACCTAGATCAAGGGTGATATGATGAATATGTTAATATTAATAATAGTTAGTATGGATCCTTCTAGATGCTGTCATTGTCAAAAATGACCGCCAAGATTAGCTTTATGTGTGCAAGCTTGTGTGAGCTGTTCACATACACACCTGTGTTATCTTTCTCTAGGACCTTTGTCAACAGAGGTAGTGAGTGGAGAAATTCCCAAGCACCAGCATTTCAATAAATAACAATTCATACATTTAATCTAGTTCCTAGAAGCAGTGGTTTTAACACAAATTAGAGGTTTAAGTGGAATGATACTTTTTCTCTCACTGTCCCTATTTTCTAGTATCATTTTTTCTAGAGAAATATCTAGATAAATGACACCTATACAAAAAACTAGATCGATTTCCACTGCATTTTACAAAGCATTCCAGGAGCAGCATTACCTGAAATAAGTCAGTTTTTGGCAAGGGTTGGAAATGCAGATGGAGACCCATTGCCAGGGCCAGCTGTCCTTGCACACTCTATCCTTCCCGGTAGTCCAGAAGCCACCATATTTGCTCTTGGCCACTCTGACTGCACACCATCCTGGGGGGGCCCTGCCCAAAGCTGAGGATGGAAAGCCTGAGTTGTGTGGCACTGAACTTAAAGTGCTGGCCAGGCCAGGGTCAGCCTGCGAAGGTGCAGGTTCAGGGTGACCATGGTCAGCCAGAACTGTGTCGTGAGTAGCAGAGGGTAGAGACAGGTGTGCGATGAGGGGAACCACTTGTGAACAACAGAACTGGCCCATATTTCTGTCACCACCCTCCCCGCCACCCCCAGATTCCTTCTTGGGCCAGACATACACTAGTTTGGAAATTAAAGTTGCTCCCCTATAGCGGTCAAGCATAAGACCTGGCCTCTCAGTTCTAGGAAGCAGTTGGTAACCGAAAAAAAAAAAAAAAAGAAAGAAAGAAAAACCTCAGTTTGAGTAGTGGAAGAGGGGGCACTTGAGATAGAATTTAAGTAATAGGTTTGATGATTACACAGGGATCACCCCTTTGTGTGGGAGGAAAATTTCAGCCAAGACCCTCCAGGGAAGGCGGATTGAGCAGGGAGTGTGAGAGAGGAAATGGGGTGAGTTTGTGAGGGAGGATTAACCCAGGTGAACATGGGGCGAGGTCTGGCTATGACACCCCCAGTTAGATTTGTCAGATCTGTGTATGTGAATTTAAGAGTGGGGAGAGACAAGGGTGGGGGCGAGTGAAGTCAGAAAAAGTGTGGAGGTGGGGAACACAAAGGAAGGAGAGAGACAGTGAGGTGAGGGAGTGGGAGTGGCAGACCTATGCAGAGGGGGAGTGGCAGAACAGAAGGTGGGTAACAAGGGAAGGAACAGCACAGGGGGGCAGAGGAAAAGACATAGAGAAGGAGCAGGAGCAGAAAATGGTAGAGGGGAGAGAAAGATGGCTGAAAACCTAGACCTCTCTGGACCTATGATTTTATTGCAGTGAGAAGTTCAGTGAAATGCCATTCAATTCTTTTTAATCATTAACCAAAGAAAAAGATTATGTAGATACTGTGTTGATACACACCTGCTTATATAATAAGGAAATTAAGTTTTGTGAAATTAACACCCTCACTGTTTGTGATGCACTCCAAGATTTTGGGTTAGGTTCCTTTTCTCCTTTTTAATACCTGTTGCCACCCACGGAATTGACTTTACAGCTCTATGAAATACAGTGGGTGGGTCTGCAGTG